TATATATATATATATATATATATAAGGTTTAGCTAGTGTTAATTTTTTTATTTTAGTCCTTAACCTAAAATTTTTATCAAGTTTAATCCACAAAATTTAAAAGGAAAATTTTCAAATACATATGTAATGAAAATCTTTGTGACGTCTTTTTCATAATGAAAATTATTGTGGACATGGACGTAAATATAAAGGATCAAACTATGTTAAATAAGTTTTGTGTAATTTCTCATTAATTTTATGACATTTTTATGTGTACTCTCATCATTCTTGTGAGGATTATTTATTTCTTTGGGAACACTTTTTGACAACAAAGTTATTTAAAACTCTGTACCAAACCAATAACATACACACCCGATCGTTAATTCTCTTTTTGTGGGTAGCTGAGAAAAGCTCACTAAGTTCCACATCATCACGACTAAGTTTTAGGCATTGCCAAAAAAGGTCAACACTTGTGTACAAAGATCACACATCGTATGATAATATGAAATAAACAACGAGTGCTTGGGGAGTAAGCGCATAGGATGTACCAGCATGTGACCTGCAATTGAAAATGTGGAGTACTCAACCTTTCTGAAGCTCAATAAGTTTTATTATGGGACAAAGAATTTGATATTCACCCAATTGGCATAAAACCTTTCCAAACTGGGTTTAAGATCCGAGTATCATCAAATATTGGTCAATCAGAAGGATAGGCATAAAACTACAAACCGAACCCACCAAGGACACTGTGAGTGGCTAGTTATGCCATTCAATTAACTAATGCACCCCAGAGCTTGCTTTTTCAAGGGCTATTACGAATATTTGTTTTTATTTTATTCAATGACATTCTGATTTATAGTCAATGATCACTTGGCAGAACATTTACACCATTTAGAAGTTCTAGTCATTTAACATAAGCATTCCTTGATTGCAAAATTATCCAGGTGCACTTTTGGTCTCACAAAGGTTGATTACTATGTCGTGTTCGGATCAGGTGTGGCCATGTATAGATACAAGCTGTCTTGGATTAGCCAATTCCTATTTCTCTTAAGTATTTCTAAGAGGTTTCTTTGGTTTGATGCCTACTACAGAGGAGATTCCATTAAGTTTTATGCTTCTTTAGCAACCCCCTTAAACTGATTTTCTCAAGAAGGATAATTTTGCATGAAGTAACACTTGCATCACTTAAAGAAAACAATTACAACAGCTTGTATGCTAACTTTAGATTACTCCAAACCTTTTATTCTTAAAACCAATGTTTTTAGTGGTATATATTAAGTAGTTTTTGAGCCAAGCATTCAACATACACTACAAGAAAAATAACCTATGCCTACAGACACTTTTACTTATAGACCTGAATTAGTGTAGGTAAAACTATAAAAAAAAATTACCTACAAATATTTAATATAGGTATACTCAAAAATCTATACCCACTTTTGTTTAGTGTAGGCAAAACTCAATACAACTTGAAGTTCTTCTACCAACAAATTGTCAATGTAGGTAAAAGCCTTCAAAGACTTATGGCTACTACTATTTTAGGTAGGTAAAAAATTTACAAAATTTATACCTATAATTATTTAATATAAATAAAAATTCATGTAAAACAAATAAATAATTATATATAAAACTAATTAATTTCATAAAAAATTAATATCAATACAAAATATGTAATTAAAATAAGAATTAAATAATTAATTTTTAAAAATTAATTAATGTATAAAAAAGAAAGAGAAAATAATAATAAAATAGAATTATGATTTAAAAATAATGGAAGTACACTTTAGCGTCTTCCCCTCATCGTAAAACCGATGTAAACATGAAGTATTCTACATCGGGTTTCCTTAATTTTAACCGATGCAGAATAGTTGAGCAATTTGTCTCCTTTCCCTTTAGTGCCTCCGCAAACTTTCGCACACGCTCATCTCCACTGGAAGCACAATACCTTTAGGGCGGCAGCGGCGGCGGCGGTGCTTCACCTTCTGCCTTCCCCTCATCTCGTAAGTCTTTTAGCATCGAGAAACTCCCTTTTTCACTCTTCATCGTGCTTCGCTCGGCTTTATTTATTTATTATTTATTGCCTATTAGGTTTCGAGTTCGCAAACTAAATTTCTTGCGTATTTGCATTTTTCACCGGGAATCGGCTAAACTCTAAACCCTGCCACTTCTTTTCTTCCTCTTCCTTCACCAGGAATCTGCTAAACCCTACCATCGGTGAGTGTCGCCGAACCACTTCCGCTTCTAGATCTGTAATGTAGGGTTTCAATTCCAAAAGGAAATTGTTCTTTTCTGCTTCACTCTTTTTTTTTTCATTCTTAATATCGTTGTTTAAACGAGCTGTTTGGTGCCTGTTGTCTGATTCTGGAGTTTGTTGTTGTGGTGCGTTTGAATCGGCGTTCCCTTTCATTGTTTTATTTAATATTTTTGAGGTGGTGAGGGTGAGGGGTTTGCGTTTTATCTGGATGATTTGAATGTTGTGAAGCGCTTAGTCGATTGTTAAATTCGATGTAATGTGAGAAGTTCTGCTTGGAAGATGTGGATCTTCGTTGCTGATTGGTTGTGTTTAGCTTGCAATGGTTTCAATTTGCTGTTTGATTTGAAATGTTTCAGGTGCATTGTGTGAATTTGCCGTTTATCCTATTAGTTAGCTGGTGATACTGATTTTAAAGAATTAGCTGATTCTTTCTCTTTCGGGGGTTGATAACTGTAATTTCGTTATTCGTTTTGGATTTATTCACCTCTTCCATCTTAAATAAAAAGAGTAGCACTATGAGAAGCTATCTAAGTATCTACGTATTATGACATTTGGATTTTTTTGAAAATCCGAATGCCGATATTAAGCTGTTGAACTTCTGGCTTCTAATTGTTTTCATTCATGAGAAAGGCAGTAAGGGTGATGTTAATTGTTAGGGGAAAGTGGAATAAAGAAGGCCAAAAGAACTTGCACTCACCCCTCCATATTGATTAAATAATCCATAAGAGAATTTTGTGTTCTGTTTCTAATTGTTTTCATTCATTAGAACTGGCTTCTAATTGTTTTCATTCATTAGAACTTACATGTTGGAACTTACATGTTGGAATAAAAATAGTTACATCATATGTCATGGGTTGACCCATAATCAATGAACAATTGGTTTGTGTTTTAAACCAGCTTCAAACAGGGAACTGAAGAGTATAGCTGTTCATTTTTCTGCTGTTTAATTTAGTGGTTGAACCATATGACATCACGACTACATATTTATTTATTTTCAAGGCACATAATTTGTAAACCAGTCATGAAAAAATGGACTTAAATGCTTATTTACCCTTGTCTCTTCTGCAACTTGCTTTAACCATTGTTTATATTGCTGGGGGAGTTTTTGCTGCTGGTTGCATTGGTAAATTATTTATAAGGAATGTTTCTTATTAGATGTTAAATTTAAGTTTCCTGCAATATTAATTTTTCTTGTTTAACAGAGGTTTCATGTTGGATTCTTACTGGAGAATGGCAGACTGCGGTCATCAGATCAAAATATGTCCAAGTATTACTTAACCAAGATATGAGTTTTTTTGACACTTACGGAAATAATGGAGATATTGTGAGTCAAGTATTGAGTGATGTGCTGCTCATTCAATCTGCTCTCAGTGAAAAGGTATGTTGGGCTCTTCTTGGGTGTATATTCACTCCTTTGTAAATTTGTTATTCTTTCCAGATATATTCTTTTAAATTTGTTATTATTTCCAAATAATATTGGAAAAGTGTGTTGTGCTCTTCTTGTGTGTATATTTACTCCTTTGTAAATTTGTATTGACTTTTGATGATACAGGTTGGGAATTATATTCATAATATGGCAACGTTCTTCAGTGGTCTTGTTATTTCTTTTATCAATTGTTGGCAGATTGCAGCTTAATTAATTACTTTTTAATTTTATAGTATTATTTCATCCTATAAGATCTTCTGTGCTCACTTTTAAAGATTAATCTACATTGCAGCTTAATCTACATTGCAGCTTGATCACCAGGTATATACGAATCTATATCACTTTTATTCTATTATTGTTTTTTAGCTTGTTAAAAATTCAAGAGAAAATAGTATATATGAGTTTTTTATGTCAGTCTATCACTAGTTTATTGAGGCCATTTCACTCAAATTTTTTTCCAGTTTATTGTATCAAATGGATAAGAGTTGGATACATGACAACTCTCTAAATAAAGAGAAGTACATTAGAGGGGTTCTAAATTTTCTTGATTTTGCCTTTGCTAAATCTTCCAAGGATGGTTATATGAATCTGATTTGCACGATCTTTTTTTAAATTTTATCTTTCCTGTTTCCCCACCAAATTTATTAAGTGCTACACAAATCTTATGCTTAAGTGTTGTGGAGAAATATTATCTTTCATGTTTTAGTAATTAAAATGCATAATTTAATGACATAGTACATGATGATGATAATTATCTTAGCGTTGTAAACTTGACATCTTTCATATTTTTTTTAGGGTTGGTGAAAGATTTACATGCAGTGGATCAACATAGATGGCAATACTTACAGGATGACATTTATCAATGCAATATGTTTTCCTTTTTTATTTCTAATTAGCAACTTTAATATCATGAATTTGTCATTTTTATAACATAGTTTGGATACTTATATGTCTAGCTCTATGAACAATGATACTTGAAATATAATACAAACATGATGTTTATAATAACATGATAACAATTACTGGTTGTTGACATTGATATAGAATCTCCATATTAGACTAGTATGTGAATAAGTAAAAATTTTCATGTTATTTTAATATAGATCAAAAAACAACTTTTGTCAAATCATCTACTTATCTTTTCCTTTTTTTTATGTTTTGTATATATAGTTTTTATTATTTAATGAAATTTAGCAAGAATAAAATATTAAATTAAATATATCAATATATTAGTTAATGAAATTTGACTTTTTTTTATACTTTAATGTCATTTTTTGTATACAAGATAATAATAAAATTTGAACTACACTTCATATAGAGTACACATATTCTCTATAAGAGATATTATATATATATATATATATATATATTATTTATTTATAGGTACAATAATAATAATAAATAAAATAAAATACTTTTACCTATAGTCAGAGCATGTAAGAATAAGTTAATAACTTTTACCTACAGTCATAACATGTAAGTACAATTTAATGGTGTTTACCTATAATAAGGAGTGTAAATATAAGTCAATGACTTTTACCCACGCATATTGCAAATTGTAGGTAGCTCTTATAGTGACAGTCAAATGTAGTTGTAGGTAAAAAATGTCTGTAGGTAAAACTTATAGTGATAGGCTATTAGTTGTAGCTATATGCCCCCTCAAAGTTGACAACTTCAATGTCTGTAGGTTAAAGTCCATGATACCTTTACCTATGCAATTTAGATTTTTAGTGACATTTTATGCGTGTAGGCATAAGTCATTTTTTTTGTAGTGATATTGCATATTTATGTAAGAAACTATCCCTTAAAATGCAAAAGGAATCAACCTATTCTTGCAAATTAGATGTTATATGTTGGAGATCATACATTAATGTAAAATAAGATCATAATAGTGTATATAAGTGGAGAATAATATTCATCTTATAAGTTGATTTTGTAAAGTTGATTTAAGCTCTTAACCCACTTTTCTTAAAATGGTCTCAGAGCATATTAGAATCTATCCAAGTGATTCTTATTGTTTAGCTTATTAGACCATCCACTATCAGGTGATTATCAAACCACCCATAAATGCTTATATCCTAGTGATTATTGATTGTTAGTAGGTTTATCAAACCACCCGCTATCAGGTAGTTATTGGACCACCCGCAGATGTCCAGTCCTGCAAATTTCATGTTTAAGATGTTTAGTTTTTGGCATGAGAGGGGTGTATTGGAGATCTCACGTCATATAGGAATAAGGTGATGCAAACTTTACATTAGAGATGTTTAGTCCTCAATGTGAGGAGGGTGTATTGAAGATCTCACATCAATTGAATAAGGTCATAAAAGTGTATATAAATAAGAAGTAATTCTCGCCTAACAAAAAGATTTTGTAAGATTAAGTTAGGTTCTTAACCCACTTTGTTAAGACTATCATAGAAGCATTGACCAAATTTTAACACTGACTCGTGAGCCTCACCTTAATTATTTAGACAAGCCAAAAAAGCTTGAAAAGTTTCACTGATCAATCCTTGCAAACATCCAAACAAAGAAGCGTGGTTGCCCAAATTCTTAGGCTATGATTTTAAAACTGAATATAAGCTAGGATGATAGGACATTCTAGTAGATGTTTTGTCATGCTTTTTTTTGCATGGCTTGGTCCAGGCCAAAGTGGGAATTGTTTCATGAGCTAAAAATTGCCATAATTGAATATTCATAATTGTTAAACATAAAAAGATTGTATGAAGCAAATAAAGTTGGTGTGCAAGTAAATGCAAAGTCTTGTGATATATAGAGAAGAATATGTTGAGTAAGGTATAAATGATAAATACCTATAAATTTAATGCCTTAAGATTTTGTGTTAAAATGTTGTGTAAAATTCTCTTACATAGTTGACTAAAATTTATTGATGGAGTTCTCCATGATGTTCAAGTGATATTAGAGTCCATGTTTATATATCTTGAGGATGTAAAGCATTTATTGCAACAATGTGCAGTGTATCGGTATGCCAAATTTGAAACATGCCAACAAGCAGCCCAATTTGAAACATGCCAACAAGCATTCTCTGGCTTTTACCATATTGACTCAAATTTTGAATTACAAGTATATCATCTTCATTTGGCTTTATAGTTATACTGGTAGTGGTGGATAGATTGTTGAAATGTGCCCATTTTCTACCTTGAAAACTGAGTATAATAGTAAACAAGTTGTTGATATTTTTATGACCAATATTGTGGAGCTATATACTTGGGATGCCAAAGACATTTGTGTTTGATTAGGATAACATTTTTAGTAGTTCTTTTTTGCAACACTTCTTCAAATTTCATGGAACTACTTTAGATGTGTTGATCACCCATAGAGTCATGGTCAATTTGAATTTGAAGTCTTAAATTGTTGCCTTGGGATATATATATATATATATATATATATATATACTTTACATTTTATAACCCCAAGTTTTGGTTTAAGATCCTTTCATGAATTAATGTATTACACTTCCTCCAATTCCTGTTTAGGCATGACAATATCTCAAGCAGTATATGGTAGAGAAACCTATACTTTAAATATATTAAGAAAGTATATTAGAGTCAAAATCAACCTTACAAAATTAGTTTGTAAGGTAAGGATTACTTTTGACTCATATACATTATTATAGCCTTATTCCTAGTCGACTTGGGATCTCCAACATGCCCTTCTCACGCTGACGGTAAGACATATCGAGCATGGAGTTTGCAAGACTAAACATCTGCAGGTGATTCGATAATAGTCTGATAGTAGGTGACTTGATAAGCCCAACAACACACTCACTAGGATAGACTTTGATACACTCTGATACCATCTTAAGAAAGTTAGTTAAGATCGTCTAACTCATTCTTATAAAATCAGCTTATAAGGTGAGAATTTCTCCCCACTTATATACACTATTATGGTCTTATTCTTAGTTGATGCGGGATCTCCAACAAAATAAATACAATTATGATCCCAAAGACCCTCCTTCCTTACCACAATTACTACTAGAAAGACTTTTTATTCACTCAATTAAAGGCAAATTTATTGAAAGCTCAATAAGAAATGAAGTTACAAGGTGATAATAAACGCAAGGATGTACAATTGAAAGTGGTGATTTGGTCTTAGTCAAACTACAACATATAGACAATAATCATTTTCCTTACCAAAAAAATCATAAGTTTAGTGACTACTATTATTACTAGTATTACCACTACCATTATCACCATCACTATAACTACCATTGTTGTTATTGCCACCACCTGTGGAGATAGTGGTGGTAGTAGTGATGGTGAAAATATTGGTTGTAGTGGTGCAATGATAGTGGTGGGGACGACTGTTGCAACAATGCTAGTAACAACTATAATAATAGGGACAACTATGATAATAATGATATGCAATAACTTTATTTGTAATATTTTAATTTAAATCATTTATTTTAATTTAAGCATAAGATTGAATATTTTATTCTCACATAAAAATGACATTCTCAAAATATATTTTCCCTATATATATATATGAGTGTGGTTTCAATTTTAACACATCAATTTATATTTCAATCATGTGTTTATCAAAAAATATTTAATGTTAAAAATTATTGATAAGTGCACAGTGAATTTTCTTGTCTTTTTTTTTAAAAAAAAAAATTTAAGATACTTAAATTTTTATTTCTAAATCCTTAAAATGAGTAAATGGTGAGTAGCGATTTTATTTTTAATATTTTTTTAATATTTATAGTGTTAGCATATCAATTATTTAGTTTTTTATTTTGTGGAATAAAACTTATTATATCATTTTAATCATAATTAATGATTTTAATATAGGTTGGAATAAACTCAAAAACATGGTGACTTGCATAGAATTTTGATGTCCTCATAAGAATGGACAACATAGTTGACTCATCTACTAATAAAATGAATCATATCATTTTGAAGTTGGTTCAGTATCTCTTGACAACTTAATAAAATGGTACCAAACACAATGTTGTTTAAACTGATATTGGAAATGACATCTACAACTTATTTACAATCCAACTCAATAATGCAATTTTGGATGTTAAGGACATTGATCCACGAGAGAGCCTAATGTAATGTCATTGCTTCTACAACTCCAAAAAAGTTGGCTTTGTCCGAGATAGATACTAGTGGCAAATGAGCACTTAAAATGTGAAGCATATATACTTCTCCAAACAAAACTTAGAGTATAGCCCAAATGAGCGCCTAAAATGTTACTATTAGGATAGTATTTAGCTTTGAAAACATGTGAAACTAAAGAAATAAGTATTAGGGTAGCAATCCTTGCTCCATATATTGATATGTCCCAATAATTATACAAAAGAAGAGGATATCAGAATCTTATATAAGAGGATATTTTGATATATCAAGCCTAAATATCATAAAATTATATACATGATATGAAAAAATATTTTGATATATCAAGCCTAAATATCAAAATATTATATACATGAGTATCATAAGATATGGCAATATATGAGAAAATCCTAATACCCCTTCAACTTGGAACATGTGAGTCAAGGATGCCTAACTTGGAGAGGAGGAACTCAAATTGTCGCCAAGGACTTTGTAAATTTGTCAACCAATTAAATCGTAGAAGGAACATAAGAAGGAAAAATGGTACCATCTTGGATAGCATCAGAAACAAAATGAAAATATTCTTTAATGTGCTTGGTTTGTTCATGAAAAATAGGATTTTCATACATATGTAAAGCTGATTGACTATCACATATAAACCAATACAAGTGAGGTGTTGAATGCCCTAGCTTAGGAAAAGACCCTACAACCATTTTGATAAAAACCATTGGAGAGATGGTTGGTGATTCCCTTTAGTAGTCTCCATGTTGTGACCAATCTTCTTCCATGGATGAAATAGTATTTTAGAAACAAAAATTGGTGGGGAGATGAGAGAATAGGGTGCCACTTTCTTTGGAGAAAGATAAGCTAGAGGTGATGATTTTGCCACAAGGAGGAATTCCTTGATAAAAGATCTTAAGGAAATATTTCTCCAAGGAAGAGAACTCAGACTTTTAAAGGAGA